GGGGTCGGGGCCGACGCTTCCTCGGGCCCCTTTTGGGGTCCCCCGTCGGCGCCGGCTCAGAGGGTGCCGGTGGCGCTGACTGGGTGTCTTTGGTTTCTTCTGCAGCTGCAGGTGAACCCGGTGTTTTTCAGGGGATCGCGGTCCCGGAATCACCATGAAGGTAGGCTCACCTCCAGAAAAGGGACCCCGGGGCTTAGGGAATTCAGGAAGGAGGGTCTGATCGCGGTCGCGCGTGGGGCCCCCGAGTTCCGCCGAGAGAGGTGTGTGCGGGGGCCGGGGCCCAAGCTCTTCCCGGGGCCGGGGGTCAGCCGGCGCGGGAGTCGGTGGGCTTCGCTGCCGTGTTGGATCCGGTTACAGGGTATCTCACCGAGAACGGTTTTCCCATAGAGAACGTCTCTTTTTGCAGGGGGGTGTTAGGAATAACTGCACGAATTCAAGTGTTTGAAAAGCAGGTCAAGTAACCTGCCTGGAGAAACTGAACTGTGTTGTGGTTCTATCTGTTACGCCGATGAAAGAAAATCTAATTTGTCGTGTGATGCGTACAGTACCATGAATTTTTCGCAGACCTGTCTGACAAGCGAAATCCAGCATAATCTTAATCGGAAGGTTTTTAAAGAGAAATGTTGGTGGTCTTTGCACAACTCGGTGGTTGCAGTTGTGTCTTGTATTTCCAGGGATTTAGGATTCTGTGGTTTATTCACCTTTAGCGATCCATTTGGTCTGTGAATTACCAGATGCTGTATCGCATTGTGATAAAACCCATGTGAAAAGCCAATGGCCAGGTTCCTCTTAAATGTAAGCATGTGAACCGAATGGAGGATATTGTCTAAAAAGTACAATTTGCTTAAATGGTGGAAGAAATTATGGTCATAAAAAAAGTACAGGTTGTTTTTTCACTTTAGAGAATGTGTAATTAAATGCTGTCATATTTTTTAATGCACTCTAGGATGAAAAGCCTTAGCTATTGGAAATGTCTGATTCAACTGGTAGAACTTAGAGACTAGCAGATGTTTTTCATCCATTACAAATTCAGAAATGTTTGAAAGGGTGTATGTAATCACAGGTATAGAATTGCAGCAGCTAGAATGTAAAAATGCAAATGTCATCTACTTTTGACAGTTTATTTGAACTATTTTTTAAAAATTTACTTTGCTTCTCTTCAGAATCAGGACTGCTTTTATAGTACTTCATCAAAATTAAGTTCATAATGTTTGTGTTTATGGTAGAAAGTGAACGCCATGGCTACTTAAATATTTGTCAGCTATACACAGTAATTTGATTTAGTCCAGTTTTTTTTTTCTTTTTGAGTTTGGGGTGCTATAAACTCTGAAGCAGTTTATATCTGCTGAATGACTATTTCACTTTCATGTAAATGAAAAAATAACCAGTGATATTTCAGAAATGAATTCCTTTTCTTAGTCACAGATGCTAGCTGGAACTTCTGTGACCCATGTGAAATGGTGACAAATTTATTAGGAAAATATATCTTCTCTGGTGTTGGATGAGAATTTCTTAAGAAAAATGTTGAATTGAAAAATATGTAAAACATTCAGAAGGTGAACATTACAAGTTTTAGTTTTGAATAAATGTTGTTATCTGTCATAGTTACCAGTGTAGTGCCTCTTCCTGCCTCTAAGCCATTGTGCCCTCATAACCACTTAAAATTTGCCTCTGTTTGTTCTTTTATACCAATAGGTAATAGTACTTTTCCTATTTATCTCCAGGGGTTTTGGTTTTTTTAGTTTTCTTGATAGAAATGAATGTGCTTTGAAATATGTGATATCAAATGTATTATTTTGTTATAATATTGAATAATGTCTGTGGTAGTAAATATTTTCATATCCGGTTAAGTCTGATTAACTTGCTTCAAGGTTTTCTTGTTCTCCCCCTTTCTCCCATTTTAATTAGGTAACCTTTATGAAAAGCCATGTTGGAATAGAAATTCTTAAACTTCTTTGGGTCGGAAAGCAGAAGCTTTAATGCCATTGTGCACATAATCTCTAAAAATTCTGTCTTTAATTTAATTCTGTCTGTCAGAGACCTACAGAAAATAAGCACACTTAACTGCTTTCAGGATAACTCTGCTTGTATATATAGTAGTCTTCATCTGTTGTTCACACCACCTTGGTTTATCTACTTGTGCTTCCAAATCTGACCCACAGAACTCATTTTGCATTGACTAAATTTACATCCCAGGGGATACCACTGTGCAGTTTGCCTTCACCTGCTTGTATTCTCTGAAGTAATCTAGAGCACAGTATTGCTTTCTGTGAGTAGAGGTAGTAGTGAGGGACCACATCAGTGCAGCGCTAAAGTCAGATCTTGGGTTTACCTGGGCCGTATAAAACCTTCATCTTTTGAGGATATAAGTAAGCAAAGTCTGGGCTGTGGACAGTTTTGATAGTGTATCCCAGTATTAACAGCAGACCATTGTTGGCCACATTATGCTTTACGTAGTGATTGTGTTTTTCATGACTTTGACTCCTCCAAATATGCCACTTAATTCTAGTATTTCAGTGTTTGTCTTTGTGTCACATTAAATCCCTCTTCTCCTGAAACATGGTGTATATCCCTAGGCTGATATTTTACCTCAAGTAGGAAAGTCTTAAGGGCAATTTTTTTTGCCTGAAAATTATTACATTAATATTTCTATCATTTCTCTTTGGTCTTTTAAATGGTATAAAGAATAGATTTTTATGAGATATTACCCATCCTCCTTAGAGTTGCCAACCACTGAGCACATAGTAGATTCTGCTCACCATGACACGTGCTGTATAGAGTTGCCCTGGTGAGAAGCAGCCTGATGGCAAGTCATCCCTCCTATCTACAGAGTCTGTGACTTTTTATTTTGGTTTTACATATGAAACCACTTGGATTTTTCTGTTTGTATGTCTTAACATATTAACTAACAATTAGGTGTCACTCAGGACTCCATAAACTTAGTTTCAACTGTGGAAGATCATGATTGTCTTCTTTGAAGTGCTCCCCCAACATCCCTGAAGTAAATTTTGTGTTTGCCAAAGAGCCTGGTTTTAGCGGTCGTCTCCTGTGTGGGCGTGCCTGGCGTGTATTCTGCCCTCATTTGGTGGCAGCATACCCAGTTCCCTGATGCACTGTCAGCGTAGGTGCCCTGCCCTTCACTGGCCAAGGGCTGAGCATGTAATTCAAGTCACACTTACTGGATATGATAAAAAGAATAAGAAAATGGAAATAAAGTAATATTAAAATCTTTTATTAATGGGTCAAGTAAGATAAATAGAGACCTGTCAGAGTTGGTGGTATGGTCAGTGTTTTTAGCCCTGTTAGGTGACTGTCAAAGAACTCATAACTGAAGTCAGAGTGTGTTGGGAGTTCTCAAGTCCACCCTCAGCTTTGGTACTTGGCTGAGAGGACTGACAAGACTCAGTGTGTGGTTGTACTTAGGCTGTGGTTTGTTACAACAAAAGAACACCAAGCATGATCAGTGAAAGGAAAAGATGTTTGGGGTGAAGTCTTTGGGAAACCAAGTGCAAGCTTCCAGAGTCTTCTTTCAGTAGTCACATAGGCACACTTAAGTCCTCTAGCAATGAATTGTGACAACATAGAAGAACTGTAGCCAACAAGAAAGCTCATTAGTGGTACAGCATCCAGGGCTTTTATGGGGGGGCCAGTCACAGAGAGATCCCATACCTGATGCACACCCCAAGTCCCTACTCTGAGAATGAAAGCTGGTGTTGAGCATAAGCTGTATCATATGTGCATACAGTGTAGGCGCATGAGCCGCTTTTATCTATTAATTGTGGAAACTCTCTCGAAATCTCTGTAAATTCCCAGTTGTGATCCAAGGGCCAACGCTGCAAGCAGGCCAAAAACAGCAGTCAGGCCTGCTGCGGTAACTCTTTTCTGTAGAGAAGTTTTACCTTTTACTTTTCTTAGTTTTACTTTTTGCATTGATAGTTTTATCTCAATTTTTCATTTCTTTGCTATAATCTTCTCAAACCACTTTTCTGTAATATACTATTTTAAATGAGCCTGCTTTCATTGCCTTATTTCATTCTGTGTGTATATTAAATATTTTTTTCATTATCACCTTCCTGTCATCTCTCAGGTTGGTAAATGGTAGCCAAAATCCCCCAGATGGCTTTCACTTTCACCATTCTTTCCATGGTACCTCGTATTATATTGGTCTGGAAACCAAACAGTTGCTGAATTTATCTATTACAAGTTCCCAGTGAGGATCTAGAGAAATAACCTATAGGGCACTGGTTTTCAAACTCTGGGGTGCATCAGAGCTCTCTGGAAGGCTTGCTAAAACACAGATTGCTGATTCCCTCCCCCGAGTTTCTGATACAGGATGCCTGGAGTAGGGCTTGAGAATTTGCATTTGTAACAAGTTCCCAGGTGATATTGGTACTATTGGTCCTCAGGACACATTTTAAAAACTTCTTTTTCTAGTTTACAGTATAATCCACAGTCTTACATATGCAAGAATGATGTGATCTGCAGAATTTACATAGAAGGGCATGCCTACCACAGGGCATTGAAAGTGAGCGAACAGTTGATGGCACCATTGTCTTCTCCCATGTGTTGTGCACCTGCTGCTTTTCTCTCAGAATGTTTGTAGGACACATGGCTCATAAAGATGAACATAAGAAATATTTATTAGAAAAGCTTACTTATCTATTTTTAATATAAATGAAAGATTCTTTATTTTTATGTGCTCAGTGAATCTTCCCCATATCACTTGGAATTTAATCATGTCTCTTGGGTAATCACAGACTGGTAGATTCCCTCTTCATTATTTTCTTGGGGAACATGGGTTATCAAGGGAATGCTAGAATTTAAGGGGTTTATTGGCTTTGATTCCTAACTGGGAATGCTTATGGAAGGGAGTGCCACTGAAATATCTTTCATGACTTTAGGGGAGTCAGAGAATCCTAAGGTAGCAGAGTTTAGCTGGTGGCAAGGGGGCCATGGTCATCACAGTAGGCTGGAAGGCAGGTTTCATAATGAAATTCTGAGAGTGTTCTGATCCACCTGGGATCCCTACATTGGTAAGCAACCTAGTAACTCATTTGGTATAATTTTTTAAAAGTCCACATCTAATAATGAACAATCTAATGTAAGCTATTGTCTTAGAATGCCTTGAGATTGAGCCTGTTTAGTTGTCAGAACCCGTTG